CCCCCCCCTCCTCGGCCCTCCAAATCAAATCAAACCGAACCAATCCAAGGCGACAAGTCCGTCAGCCCAGCACTTCAGTCCAGAACAGAGTACGGAGTAGGGCAAAGGTCGCAATTGAGACTGTGCCACTGCGCCGCTGCAACTTTTTAGCCGAACGGGCAGATCAGCAGTCCTGAGTAGGCAGGACCGCACAGGGTGGACAGCCGAGAAACAGTCCGCTCTTCGCTGGCTTCCGCAGGCGTCTCGTGCAACCGTCGACACCACTTTAATCGCTGCTATTTTTGAGGTGTTTTCAGGGTCGGGCTGGGTTGTCATGGTCCCGGGCCGTGTTGTTGTAGTCCCGGCTGGGTTGTCATGGTCCGTGGGTTTCGTTCTGTGTGTCCAGCGGCCCTTTATTCAATGCTGAAGCCGGCTGTACCGTTCACGCCCTTCGCTCCCCTATTTTTGCGGTTATTCGTCGGGTTCTCTCTGTCCGTGGATTTCGTTTTCTGTTGCGCCAGGCCGCTGGGTGGGGCCGCTCACGCCCTTCGCCTTTTTTTTTTCTTTACTTCCCTGTTTTTTTTTTCCCTCTCGCCTTTTTCTTGTCTTTTCCTGGCCCCCAAGATTGACAGTCTTCCCCGCTGGCAAAAAAAGCCACACCGGTACGAGAGCAGTTTCCTCATCAAGTCCAGAATCCAGAACAGTGGCCCCAGTCGGACCCGACACCTGTGCTCCACCACCGTAGATTTCGGAGATTGTTCCACCACAAGAAACGACCACCTAGCTGCCGTCAATCGATAATATCTACGGCTCTGAGTGCGTTCCAGGATTCAATGGCACCGCCCGCTTCATTTCGCCTAACTGTTCCAATGGCCTCTTGCCTCTGCTGCTGCCGCAGACGCCGCCTTACTATTTTTGTGTTCTTACGTTGGCCTCTTCGGGCCCGTCGATCCTGTTTGTCTCTCTCATTCACATGCCCGACAGCGCCATCGTACGGGTGTTCCTCCGCTCTCTTGCGCAGATTAGCCCTGGTCTTGAGCGTGCGGGTCCCCACGTATGGACACCGGATACCAGGCGGCGGGGAGGGTGGAACGGGAGAAAAGAGGGGGAGGGGGAAAGTGGGGGATGGGGGGGGCGCGGGGGGGGGGGGGCGGAGCTAGAGTGCTGGTCATCGGCTCACTTCTGCATACCCTGGTCCCTTGTGATTTCTCTTTCAGGAAGGGAAACAAACCGATCAGCCTTACAACTTCCAAATCTAGATCTGTTTGGACGTACTTTGACGTGAAAGCCGGCAGGTGCATGATCTGCGCACTAGGTCCGCAGTTTCGGAGGTTGTAAACCTGCGTGGGCTGTCCCGAAGCTCAAACCAACGCTCACTGCTGCTTAGAACTGTTGTCTCTAGCTCAGTGTATAAACGACGTCTTTCAGGCCATAGTCACCTGGCATCCTCCAAATCCCAAACTTGATTGATAGCCTTGTGGAAAGGGTTTTGGTGCCACAAGTTCTAAGGGGCTCTTTCTACACTCCTCGGGCGCATAAATCCCCCGAGCAATTCATCGTTCCACTTATCCTCGGGGAAGAAATTGAAAAAAAAATGTGAAAACATTTCCTCGGGGATTCCTCGGGCTACAGCCATTTCGACGCGTTCCCCAAGGGACCTCCCGAGGTCCCTCGGAGGTCGAACATCCGGGAGAACCGGGGCGTCGACAGCAGCTCTCTCGACGACAATTTTCGATGCAGCTGGTCCATTGCTGTTCCTGGCGGCCCGTCAACGGACATCTTCGGTCGGCAACGGTCGGTACGGACACACCTTGCCAACTTCCGAATTTGCGACGCCCACCCGAGCTGGACCAACGACGTTGGCATGGACACACCTTGCTGGACCAACCTCATCTCCCCCCCCCCGTCCGCTTGTCGATATATGAAACTGGTCGTGGAACCCCCCGAGGAATCGTCCTCGGAGAACAATTCCAAGGATGAGTGGATCGACAGAGCGAATTTCCTCGGGCGATGATGGGAGAATTTCCTCGGGCCCGGAAGACGGTCCGAGGAGTGTCGAACGAGGCCCTAACCTACAAGGATGGAAACACAGGAAGGGATTGCACTAAAACGGAATGTTGTAAAAGGTTTTGCAGCTGCTTTCAAATGTCTGGCCTTTGTTTTCACTTGGGCCTTTTGATCATCGCAACTTTCAAGAGAAAGGATGTCACATGTGGTGAGGCTAACTGTGGGATCCACCACGTCAGGAATGACGTGGCACACACACACATCCGCAAGAATGGATGTGATCAGTTCGGTCTCTCGGTATCTACATGTGTCGGATTGCTTGGCGCGCAGTGCAAGAGGATTGCAGTTGGGTGGTTGTCGAGGAACATCTCCACAGCATCCGACCACACGTCCAAGTGGATGTTGAAGAAAGTCAAAAAGAGACCAGTGGAGTTCATCAACGAGGCTCTACCCATTAAAGTTAAACCAGCAGCAGAGTCCAATGGAGTTCATAGAGGTTCTAACTATTGAAGTTAACCACCATGAACCTCGTTTATGCTGGTGGTTTAACTTCAATAGGTACAACCTCGTTTATGGACTCAATTGGACTCTTTTCGACTTTCTTCAATATACACTTGGACGTGTGGTCAGATGTTGTGGGGACATTCCACGACAACCATCCAACTGCAATCCTTTTGCACTGCACGCCAAGATATCAGACATATGTAGATACTGCGAGACCAAACTGATCACAACCATGCTTGCCAATGTGGCTGCCACATCAGTCTTGGCGTGCTGGATCCCACAGTCAGCCTCGCCACATGTGACATGCTTTCTCCTGAATGTTGCGATGATCAACAGGCCCAGGTGAAAACAAAAGTCGGGCAATTGAAAACAACTACAAAACCGTCAACAACAGAGCTCTCCAACGGAGGCCGCACTTGGCCTCTAGAAGTGGCCAAATGCATCCTGAAAATTCGGCGCGCAGGGCTCGCCGCTGATAGTTGGGAAAGGTACTGGCAGTTTAATAGAAGTATTGCAGCATGTGAAAGCAACAAAGATCCAACATTAGGGCATCTAGTGATGTACATCAACCTGGGCTCACATGAGATAGTTTGCAAGTATTGTGGCCTCATATATATGCAGAAGGACCACTATTGATTGAGAATATGACATGTGGAATAGATGCGCAGTACACACTGCTCACATCCCTTGTGGTTGTTGCAGGAGATGCTGACTTACTTGAAGGTAACTTTATCGAAAAAAAAAACAAAAAAAAGGGAAAGGCAACCAGTGAAATTACAGTTGTGTCTGTGATGTGACCTCGCTGTCGAGTTAGGTCCGACTCTTCCCCAACCCTCGATAAATGTTATGGAAAACCCATCCCGACCAACACTGGCAGAGCTCTCGTTCACCAGTTTCACGGGCATTGGTTGTGTTTAAGGGATCTCGAACTCCTAATTGTTTCTTTTGCATGATGTTTGCCACAACCGTGACAAATATTCATGCCAACATCCACTCAGGATCAAGGTCACCCTTGAAGAATAATTCATTTACAATTGTTGATCATTGTAATCGATGCTCTGAAATGAAGAAAAATATCAAATATGCAACCACTTCCATTTTATTTCTTTATAGACCACCAGTACAGTGGGGCTTAGATAGAACCCAAAAACAATATTGACCCCAACTTTTGTTATCGATGATGGGAGATGAAGACAAAGTCAAACCTACATGGTCAAAATAATTATGATCATCATAATAACAATAGTAAGGTTGGGGGCCTTACAATTCAATCTGGAGATATATTAAGAGCATCATTCAACTTAGCTTATCTATAATGAGTAACAATGTAATGAATAACAAATTAGTAAGTTCATTGTTATATCCACCATGTACAACTATATAGTCAAAACCTCTTACATCGTATCTTTCCAACTAATATGTCTAACACTTTTTTTTTTTTTCACCCTGAAAGGGGGAATGGGGCGAGCCATGCTCTGCTGCAGTGCAATACAGAGGCAACTCAAAAGGATCGAGTAGGCAAGCCTACCCATATGACCCTACCGTACCTTGGAAAAATTAATTTAATATCATGTGGCCCGATGGACCACGGATTAGATATTAAACTGATCAGAACAGA